GAGGGAGGGAGGGAGGGAGGGAAGGAGAGAGAAACATAGATGTGAGAGAGACACATGGACTGGTTGCCTCGTGCACACGCCCCGACTGGGACTGGGGATCGAGCCTACAACCAAGGTACAGGCCTTTGGTTGGAATCACACCTGGGACCCTTCAGTCCTCAGGTCAATGCTCTAACCACTGAACAAACTGGTTAGGGCAGTTTCGACACATTTTAATATGTGGCATGATCTTTGTGAAAAGTGAAACTGAGAGATTAAATTACAACCAAATGTTCCTACAAACTTAGACAACCAGTTAACCACTTCGGCTTTAAACAGCACAGCATAAATTTAAGGAAGCACATCGTACTTCGTGATTCCTTGGCTATTTCCAGTGACAGACTCTGTCGCTGTGCCTCCTAGTCAATGTGTCCTAGGGCCATTTCAGAAGCAGGGATTGGACCCTACAAAGTTTCAGCAGAAGCTTGGGACAGTCTGAAACTCAAAAGCCCCCTCATGGCAACCCAGAGGGTGTATAGAGTTTTTAGAGTGTGCCAAGCCCAGTGAGGCTGTATTTTCAGTAAACCCTCCCAATGCCATGGGGCATCACCCCCACTTACAGGAAGTACAAGGAAGCCTCGGAGGGACTGATTTTCACCCGCCCAGTAGCTGCTCAGTACCTATCGTGTCTTGGGCAGCATGCTGACTGAGGCCCTGGGCAGGACCTGGCCCCTGCTTTTAAGGAGTTTTCAGTTCAGTGGGAGAGGGAAATTCAAAGAGGAAGCACAGCATGGCTAGTCTTTGAGAGGGGCACACACACGAGAAATGAGGAGAAACTCTCCCTGGGTCTGGTCGGGGGTGTGGGAAAGGTTTCCCAAGTAAGATAATAGAGACACGTGAAAGTACGTGGGAAGGGGAAGCTGACCCAAAGGACAGCAAGTACAAAGGCACGAGGAGAAATGCAGTGCATCTGAAAAAGGACATTTACCCGCTGGTTCAAACTACGTGAGCACCTCTCGAGTGCAGGGGGATGGGCACTCCACTGTGAAGGAGACAGGCAAAGGCCTTGTCCTCAAGGAGCTTAATCCTAAGGTAGAAATAAGTGATAAAAACATAAATCAAATCAAATATGATTACAGAGTGGTGAGCATATGAAGGAAATAACTCGGGGAATGAGCTGGAGAAACAGGGAGGAGCAGATCTTAGGTGCAGCCGTCAAGGACAGGAGGTTTGAGTGCAGAGCTGAGAGGAGAAAATGCCAATCACGGGCGAGCTGAGAGGGACTCCAGGTAAACAGCAAGCACAGGGCCCTCACAGGTTAAAGCTGGAAACAGTAAGAGACCAGTGTGGCTGGAGCACAGTGAAAGAAAGAAGATGCAGTGGGTGATGGGGGTGGGGGTTTGTGGGCTGTGGATTTATCCTGAGTGCAGTAAGAAGCCTTTAAAGGGTCTCAAGAGAAGTAACTGTGAGACTGTTCATTTCCATTTCTAAAGGGTAACTCTGAAGGCACTGAGGAGAATGAATTATTGGGGTTCAGGGGAGAAGTAGTACCAGTCAGGAGGCTACTGCCAGAATCTAAGTGAGAGACTGTGCTTGGATCAGGGTGGTGGCAGTGGAGAAGAGACAGTAGTTGGATCTGAGATAGATTTTGGGGGCAGAAATGACTGGACCTCCCAGTGGCTTGGATATGGAGGTGTGGGTGAGGAAGGGATCAAGGATAACTCCTAGCAACTGACAAACGGGATACTATCTTCACATGGAATATTGTGAGTCCAGAGTTCTCTCTTGGAAATGTTCAACATGAGATGATCATCAGACATTCAGGTGAAGATAGTCCATAAGCAGGTACCTAAGACAGCAGCTCTGGGGAGAGGTCAACATTAGTTTTGAATGTAGGGGTCACTGGCATGAAGATGGTAGTTGAAGCTTAAACATCGAATGGAGTAAGTGGAGTGAGAAAACCCATGTCAAAGCCTGGGGGTTGAGGGGGGAACGTTAGAAGAGGAAAAGCCAGAAAACTACAAAGAGATGGAGTGGCCAGTGAGGTAGGAGGGAAATCAGGAGTGTGAGGTCATAGAAACCAGGAGACAAAGAGGGAGAGGCCAACTGTATAAAATAAAGCTCAGGGAAAAGTTGGGTCACTGGTGATCTCAAGAGCAAGAAAGCAGTTTCATGGTGGGGATGGAATTGGGGTTGGAGAGAGTTAGGAAGAGAGTGGGAGGTAAGGAAGTATAAATAGTCACTCCACAACTATCTGGAGCACTAGACAGAGAGGCATACAGAGGTTTTGTTGTGTTTTAAAGAAAGGAGAACTCACAGGATGCTTATATGCTGATAGGAAAGGTCCAATGGAGAGAGGGGACACAGGAGCCCTTTGAACTGGCAAGTACACTACAGGTCACCTTGTCTCTAATTGCACATTCTAGCTCTCTGCTGACCTATTTCCTGTGGTCCTCACATGCTGCCATCCTTCAGGGCTCTAAGCATAGCATTCTGCTCCTCTCTCTTCACTCCCTCCTTGGTAGATCTTATTGGATCTTATCAACTCTCCAAGGTTTCAAATGTCTCCTGCACATGAGATCTTTGTCTCCCACTTGATCCTCTTAGAAATGGAACATTTCCATTGGATCGTCCATGGGCATCACTCACTAGAACCAGCCCATCCCTCCCTCCACCTCTCTCTCATACCTGTGCTCTGAGCCAAGAGGCCTTCCTTCAAAGTTCTTTAACCCCTTTCTATACCTCCAGCCTGGCTCTGCCACATTACCAGCCCAATTGGCTAGTAAGCAACAAAACCAACACATCAATCAGAGCAGTGTGACTCTGAATCCAGACTCCTACATACCTCCCTTAAAGAGGGTCCTGTGGTTACTTCATTTTCAACATGTACCATAAAGTCTTTATGTTAGCCTACAGCTAGTCACATTGAAGTCAGCAAGAGAAAGTATCATCTTATGATAATAAATACCGATGAGAAAAAAGTCTAGCAAAGTGGTTTATTCTTACAAGTTATTGCTGGGAAAGGTCCTTCAAACAGACCAGTGCAGTAGAAATGCCTTGGAGAAGGATCAGCTTTTCAGATTTCTTCACAACAGCTCTATGATTTTTGTATCTCCGTGTCTTTAAAGGGCCACTACTTCAGATGACAGTAACTCTTTGGTGTTTGTTTTTATTTCCAAATTTGTGATTTTTCTGAAGAGGCTACTTTGGAGCTGTGAATTGTTTCACTGTCTTTTCACTCTCTCTTTTCAGTTCCTCAATATGGGCATCCAGGCGTTCTAGAATATGATGAGACCTCAGTTCCTCCTCTTCCAAAAATCGTGTAGCTATTGAACCAAGGGGAGATACAGGCGAGGGACTCTAGAACAGAAACAGATTGGCATATGTAAGTTGAATATTCTGTTTCTAACACATGTTATGCATGATATTTTCTATCTAGTACTATTGAAAGGTGATTTTTAAAAATACCTTTTCCTCTGAAGGGATTGTTTTTGTTTTTATCCTAATGACAAGAATAGTTCGTTTAAAAAGTTCTGCAAAAATTAACACAGATCTCCTTCTTTCTGACCCAAGCTGTGTAAGTGTAAAGCGTCATATAAATATAAGACATTAATTACTGGTCTGAAAAATGTCTCATTTTAGACTTGTATATCCTTCTATACCCCAGAAGAAAATAACACTTAATGCCTGTTATTCAAACATGGTTTTAAACTCTAAATATGTTACTTTTACTTTAAAACACAGAATATCTACCTATAACATATTAGACACCAGTTAAAATCAATTACTCTTTCCTCCTCCAAAATTTCCATCTGAAGTCCCCTATTTGACACCCTTGGGCTCAGTGGTAGTTCAGAGCTCAGACTTTAGAAAAGTGACACAAGACACATATCACATGTAGTCGAGCCTCATCCGCAGCAGTTGTTTTCTATCAAGTCACCTCAAACACTGAATTAGTGAATACAGAATCACTGCCCCTAGGGAAATACACATACATATCTCATACAGATTATCATGCTAAAAACAACTCATCCTAGTAGATTAAGAGAAAATGAGGGCAGGCTGGTGTTGCTAAGTGGTTGAGCGTTGTCATATGAACCAGGAGGTCATGGTTCGATTCCCAGTCAGGGCACATGCTGATGTTGGGGCTTGATCCCCAGTAGGGGTCATGCAGGAGGCAGCCAATTAATGACTCTCTCATCATTGATGTTTCTATCTCTCTCCCTCTCCCTAACCCTTTCTCTCTCTGAAATCAATAAAAACACATTTTTTTAAAAAAAAGAGGGACCAAGGTTCAGAAGTGGTTAGTGACTTGCCTGAGGCTGGCCCACTAAGGATGCCAGAGCTGGGATTGAAACCCTGTTCAAGGTGCCCAGAGTCTGAGCTTCTTGCTAAACTGCGCTGCCCATCCCACTCCAGCCTCTGGTCCTCCAGGTACGAGAGCTGAAACAGGAGGGCAGGGCCATGTGGCCACCTCAGCTGGGACTGTGCAAGACTGGTCGCTCAGATTTTTCACAGCTCTGCCCCTGTCCACAAATGATGTGGCAGAGCTGCAAGTACTGACTGGGGGTTACAAATACTTTAAGCAAGGAGGCAAATTCACAAACACCGAATCCTTGATTAATGAGGTTACATTCTGTAATCAAACACACTAATATTTCTGAAGTCAAATGCTGAGTGGGATAAAGTCTACACATATTATCACATTAGTTCAGGGCAGGGCAGGTTTCAGTGCCAAATAAGTGCTGCTGCCAAACTTGGGAAGAAAGTTAGATTTCGGGACTTTTTTGGACTTCAGAATTATGCATAAGTGGGGACTTATTTTAAAACTGATGATGGAAATGAGTGGCCCAAGACAAGTGCTTCAGTACAGAAAGCAAAAATGATGGTGGAGTTTGCACAAGAACAAGGGGCCAGCACAGTGTCAAAGAGCAGCCTCTGCCGTCAGGGCCAACATTGCGCGACTTCGAGTCCGTGTTGTGGACACGTGGAATGCAATCCTTCCTCCACCTCCGCCCACCCCTTTCCCTTTTCCAACAGTTCCTTTTTTCCTTCTTCACTGTCTATGTCTCAGGACTATCCTGCCAGCCAGAGATATTCCTTGAACCAACCTTTCCAATACAAAATGGACCCTCTCTAAAAAACAAAGGAAGGGTGTTTCCAATTAGGGATAAAAACAAAGGAATATCTTATGCTATATTTCAGAACTAAGATGTATTCAGAAAAGTAATCATGGCTGAATGTGTCTTCATAAGCAAAACCGTAAGACAGAAACACATGAGAATAATAATAAAGGGTACTTAAGATAGGGAACCAGTGAGAAACAAAATAGAACAAAAACATATCACACCCCTCACCCTTAAAAGTTAAAATCAAACTAAATAAACTTAATAAACTAGGAAGGTCAGAAAGTTTCCATACCGAAGACATTAACTCTTCTTGGTCATTTATACTCTCAGAGATAGTATCAGAAAAAATGGCTTCATTTGGATCTAGCACTGAAGGCAAAGAGTGGGCTTTATACAGAAAGTTGGGAGGCAGAGAGATGCAGGAGCTGGAAGGGCTGAAATGAGAACTCAGGGGGCTGAGGACCGTGGCTACGGGCCCCACCCTCTCCGGCGCCTGTCCTCGTGGAGGACAGAGACCTGCTTGGCGGCGCTCCGTCTTTACTCCATCGCGTCTGTGCTGGCCAAGGGATGGCCTGGAGAGTGGGTGAGGGAACAAAAACAAGAATTGTAGTAATTTTTCCCCTTCAAAACAGAAATGTTGTAGGAAGATCACTTAATAAATGAAAAGGCTAACTAGCTAAGGCTGTAATTTATAAAATAAGCAGTCCACTCAGACCAGGTGTTCTCATTCACTCAGGCTCCAGATGTGCCATCCCCGCTGCCAGGCCACCCTCACGCACTTACAGTACGGCAAGGAAGGCAGAAAGCTGCCAGAGAACTAGCGTGGTTAGTGCCTGGATAAGGGGAAGTGCTGCGCTCACAAGGGCATCTAGCCCTGGCCGGGCAGCTCAGCTGGTTGAAGCATCACCCTGTACAACAAAAGGTTGTGGGTTCGATTCCCAGTCAGGGCACATACCTAAGCTGCAGGTTCGATCCCCAGTCAGGGTATATGTAGAAGGCTACCAATTGATGTTTCTCTCCCCGCCCCCTTTATCTCCCTTCCTCTCTCTAAAAAAAAAATCAATAAACATATCCTTGGGTGAGGACTGAAAAAAAAAAAAAGAAGGGCACCTACCCTTATCTCAGGGTTGAGAAAGGTTAGAGCAGTGAGAGTGTCAGCAAAGGCTTTTGGGAGGAAAACATGTAAATCACATAGAAAGACCTGAAGCCAGGTGGTTTTTCATTTAATGCTGATTTATGGTAACAGCCTATAATTAACTAACCAAAAATACAAAGCAAGCTTTTTCTAAAAAGCCAACTTCTTACGGGGCAAGTGGGGTTGGGGTGGTGGCAGGCAGCAGGAAAAGGCTCAGGGGAATAAGGACATTGTTTATACGGACATCCAGAGTGTCTAAAACCAAAGCTTGAATGAAAGTGCTCTACAACCCCCTCCATGTTTTAACCTGACAGGAGCCTTACTTGTGCACATTGTACTTCAGAATTAAACATACAGCCCTTTGATGAAGATTTAATATCTAAACATCAGAAATAATTCTCAAAGAAATGAGAATTATATTACAAAGATACATATTTTAAATAAACTGTGAAGAAATGTTACTTGAACTCTGTATTCTTGAACTCAGGTGCTCTGCTGTGTGTCGGTTTTAAGAGCATGTCATGGTTTTTTTTGCACATCTGAGTAGAAATCTCCAGCTTAGATTGGGTGTCCATCAAATCTTTCTGTAGTTGTTGATTTTCAGACACTAATTTATTTAATGCCTCAATATAGTTCTCCTGGAGGTCTGCTAGTGAAATCTCTTTTGCCTAATAAAAAAGAATACTAGAGTCACTTAATCTGTATAAAATACTTGCTATCTGTGATATCGCGGCTCGTGGAAGATTACTTTCTTTTTAGTTGTAACTAGTTCATCTATAGCTTTACTTTGGAAAAAGTGAAGATTTGCTTTTGGCTAAGACTAAGAGAAAAGGGGTTCTGTCTCTTGCAGTAAGTGGGGTGAAAAGTTAGAGCACAATGGGCTTTAACATGCACCTGGCAGGAGGAAGGCTCAGAACTAGCAGGGAAGAGAGCTCCAAGTGAGAATCAGAAACAGAAAAAGCAAGAGAGCAGCCATGGGTTCTTCAAGAAACAGAAGGTTCAATAGCCTGGAATACCTGTGGAAGAAAATCGAGAGACCAAAAAGAAAGGAAAGAAATTGAACACAAGTTTCCAAAAAGGAATTCTGGCTAGCAGGGGCAACTTTTAAATACTCTGGCCTTAGACAGTTTTCCATAACGTTTGGCACCTATTTGTGTGTGTGAAATACATTTGGACATGATAAAGCAGCACTCAACTATAAAGTGGGACTGACTGCTCTGATATGGTCTGAATTTTGTGATCATAAACTTTACTGCTCTTCAATTCTAGGTGTTGCCTGGTAATATAGTACCTGGGGGGGTGGAAAGTGGTCTGTACCATTTTTTTCTAATGACAAAATACTTTCATTAGCGGTCTAAAAATTATGGTAATCTTTGGAGTTTAATACAATGTTTACCTTGGTCTTTTCTGTAAATACTTTTCTGAAAATAAACCGATCAAGAGTGGTTTGACATACAGAATTTACCTAACAAAAACATAAACTTTAAAATACAACCTTTTAACTATCTGCGTACACTAGTGACAGTAAGTTACAAAATCTTTCAATAAGTCACCAATGCCAATTAAAATCCACCCCACCCCAAAAGAATTTGCAGAACATAGGATTTAAACTGCAAACTAATGTCAATTTTTAAATGTGGTAAATAATTTATTTTACCAGAGCTATTGTTTTCATTAAGATAACATTTATTAAAATAGTTATTTAACCCTGGCCAGTGTGGCTCAGTTGTTTCCATTCCCAATCAAGGCACATGCCCAGGTTTTGGGTTTGATCCCAAGAAGGGTTTATATGGTAGGCAACCAATGGATGTTTCTCTCTCACATCGATGTTTCTCTCTCACCCTTCCCCTCTCTCTAAAATCAATAAAAACATATCCTAGGGTAAGGATTTGGAAAAAATAGTTATTTAACCCAAACATTCATTTGTAAAAGCAATTCCACCTTCGTAGGTGGTAAAATACAAAAAGAAACTTTGTAATAACTATTCTTAATATGTACAACATATTCGCACTGAGTGTAACTTCAAAACCAGAGAGAGTTTAAACTGCTGACAGGATTTTCACCAGCCAGAGTTTAATGTCTGGTGTCATTAAATATACTTTTTTTAAAAAGATAATGCTTGCCTTTGCCAGGCATCTTTTAAGTTTTCTCAAGTGTTATTTTATTAACAATTGCAGATAAATGAGTGTAAAAAGGTAATATAAAAACTCAGCAAGCACACACCTGGCTGTATAAAGAAAGGACAGCACTACCACTGTTTGATGAGGTTTCAGGAGAAATAGAGCTGAATAGAATCTCTGGTCATGGTCAGGCTTAAGTGCCCCTGAGAGTTCCCAACTCATATGTGAACAGGCCCTCACTGCATAAGAGAAGATTCTATCAATCAGTTATTGCCAAATCCAGGGTCTTCTGAAGATTCTGTTATAAACCGGTTATTCTTGGCTTTCTCCACTGCTAGCTTGGTACTGGCTTTATCTGGACATATAAAGTCATTTCCACCCCTCCCTCCATCTCCCCCCCTCACAAGATGTTTAGCTGTTGTCTCCTTTCCTATTTTTACCATCCTTGTAAGTTTGTGCTTTAAAAAAATTCCTTTCATTATAGTTTTAGAGGTCCAGGGGGAGGGAGCAAGATTAGAGGCATATTTTCATCTGCCACCTTAAGTGACGGCATAATATTTCATAGAATAGAGAGCCACAAATTAGCCATCCCTCTATAGATTAACATTTAGTTTATTTCACATTTTTGGATATTGCAAACAATACTGAAATGCCCATTTCTGCATATTTGCTCCTCTAGGATGGGTTCTTTGGGAATGCAGACTGATACGACCTTTCTGGAGAATTATTCAGCAATGACTATCAAATTCAGAAATGCACGAGACTCAGTTTATAGGTTATATATATTTCAAGTTTGATGAATGTTACTAAATTCCCGCTAGAAAGGCTCTATCAATTCACTTTCTCATTTACAGAGCATGAGAGGGCCTATTTCCCTATATTTTTGCCAGCACTGGCTATATTAGTTTTTAAATATCAGTGTCAATCCAATGAGCAATAAAATATTTATTTTGTTTTGATTATTAGGGAGGTTGAGCAGCTCTTCTTGTTTATTGGATTCTTGTATTACATCTATGAATTATCTATTTATGTCCTTTGACCATTTTTCTACTGAATGGTCTTTTATCATCTTTGTAAGAAATCCTTACATATTAATATTTTATGTTAACCTTCGGTCTGTTTATAGATTGTCTCCCCCAGTCCATTAGTCTTTTTTTACAGGATCTTTTGCTGCCCAGAAATTTTACATGTTTAAGTTGTAAAATTCCTTACATTGTACATTCTTCATGGTTTCATGATGTTAGTGCTGACTGTCACAAGTATACACGTGTTTCTGTGTCCGACCATTGCTGACTATTCACGAGATAACTCGTGGCTGCACTTACATTAATTTAAGTAATTTTAAACACCTTGCTGACCGGTCATGACAGAAAAGTTGCCAGGCACACGGGCAAGTTCTGGCTCGAAACAGCCGGTCAGCAAGGTGAGAATCTTACCTTCCCCAAAGATTATAAAAATAGTTCCCCATATTTTCTTTTAGCTGAAATAAAGTGGTCATCTAGTGTTCTGCACTTCTTCCAACCCAGCTTCCATAATCCCTAACTGTGAAATTAGAACTACATGGGAGCAAATAGGGGCACTGAGTAAACTATGCATCTTTGGAGGCCCATGTTCTCTTGGAAGTACAGAAAAGAAGAATTCTACAGTCCTTGAGCATTTGCCCTATATCAAAAAAAGATGGGTTAGAATAGATGGGTCATTCTGCAAGTTATAAGAACTTATAGCAAAACAGCATCACCACTTTATAACTCACTGTTAGCTAATCAAGTTCTCTGATTTCACAGGAGCTGGTACGTACTTCTTATCCTCCCTACTAGACTATTCTCATCTCTTAAAGGGAAGAACCCTCATTCATCCTTGTGCCATCACCTACTAAAATGCTCCAAACATAAAGACTTCAGAATATTTGAGGGAGTTAATTCAACCTTATAGAAATATAATTAAAACTAAATTATTTAAAAGGTGATATACTTTATAATGAAAAGATATTGTGAACATCATAACTGTAACAATAACAGCACCTAACACTTTTTGTGTGCTTACTAAATGACAAACATTATGCTAATTCCTTTATATACATACATGTATTTTATCACGTACATAATATAAAAGATATCTTCCAGTTGCTAGAGTGGAGAGTCATGTTTTGCTCGCTTCCATCACTATAGTTGAGAAAGTTTCTGCAGAAGGATCATTCCATATTTGATCTTAAGTCTCTCTTTACGGTATCAATATTCACAAAGTGATCTTTTTAAGGCTTAGGTAGCAGAAAAATTTAAGTTTCTATTTATGTACCTCATGTAAACCCACTTCCAGTTTCATCACGATTTCAGAAAGATGACGATTTTCTAACTTGAGTGACTCCAACTGATCCAAAATCTCCTGAGAAGGGAAAAGCAGGAAAAACAAATAAATACACAGAAATAACAAATAAATCAAATATATCCTACACAATGTTTTCACATGTAATTTTCATTAGGCGAAGTTACATTCTTCATTGATAGACATAAATATTTTCTAAAAAGATTTTTTTAAAAAGGTGTTTCAAAGTGAATTAACATACATGTAATTAAAATGTTATTCTAAGAAGATGAATCAGTTCATTGGCAAATACCTAACCACTCTCCTGTGTTAGCCTCCTGATTGGGCTTCTACCTTCAACATCATCACATGGACTGCACAAAATAATACCTTATTTTCACAAAACAACACCTTATTTTCAGTCCTCATTCTACTCAGCTTTTCTTGACCAAAAAGTCCTGCCTTCCTGCTTCCTTAGTGAAAACTGTTTCCTTCTTTGGTGCTACCATTTTTATTTTTTTTTAGCTCCATGCCAACTCCTTTTTTACCCTAAATGAGTAATGTCCTCAGTTTGGTCCAAGTCTCTGCCCTTCATACTCTATGCTTTCTCATTATAATCTCCAAATCTCTCAGGATGTTTCAAATGCCAACTTCATGCAAAGACTTCCACAGCTAAATGTCTCATCCTGATTTTAATCTTGAACTCCAGGCCCTCTGTGGAACTGACTATTAGATATTTCCATATGAAAGTTCAGCCTTCACCAGAAGCCAAACCAATGTTCCCTCTCTCGGTTCCCCTGTTTTGTACCTTTCATGCAAATTCATTACCCTCCACAAAACTGCTCCCTATCTTTTTCTCTTTTTCACTAAAGAGCATCACTTTCCACTCAGCTGCCCAAGCTGGAATCGAGTGATATCTTTCTTTAACTCTGTCTAACTCACCTGCCTTGTCCAATCAAATACAAAGCCCCATTGATTTTACCAGCCAAGTATCTCCAGAATTCATCCATTTCCCTCAGCACCTGGGTGGTCTCTTTGCTCCTTGCTCCTTCCATATGATAACCACAGAGATCTTTCATCCTGCTTAAAGCCATTCTCCACTGACAACACTCAAGGTAACACTCAAACTCTTAAGCATGACTGATAGGACCCTTCAGGAGCTAGCCCCTGCTTTCCAGTGTCTTCCACTGTCACCTGCCCCACTTTTACTCTAGCTTGTCACACTCTCACCACACACCACAGCAACAGTCTCTTTCCTTGTATGTGTCTACTCGCACCTCCCCACCAATCCTCACTAGAATGCTTGTTATCAGCATACTCTCTGCTCAAAGCAGGTGTCTAACAAAAACTTACTGAATTAAATGCTATGGAACCGCTATCTTTAATAAATTCAATCTTCAAAAACAAACTTCAAGTAAAAAGAGGTTTTATTCTACTATTACCTTGTGCTCTACGGCTTTTTCTTCTGCCTTTTGTATCTCTGCTTTGAGTCGCTTTTCCATGTCAGAGGAAGAACTTTTGGCAGAAGCAATAGTGACATCTCGCTGATGTAACTCCCGAGTCAACTGGGAAATTTCCATCTTCATTCCTTCTAGTGCAGAACTGTAACTCTGGTCAGTCTGTAAAATCTGTTCTTTCAACTACAAAGAAACAGAAAGGAAAGGATGAAAAATTAAGAGAAAGTATGTAGATAGAAAAATATATTAATAGTTAAAATAATATGGTAATTTTTACCGTACCTTCAAGACATGAATTGTTTCCTAGATTCAATTGGCAGAAAATTAGCAATTTACCAAATTGTATTTCTGTATTGAAGGTCATATAGTTATACCCACAATCACTACTAAATAGCAAAACGGGACAGAGGTGATTCAAACATTGAGAACCAGTATCAAAGCCCATGCACACATTATTTAGAGGACAGCACCTGGGACCTTCACTTTTTTTTAGCTACAAATCTAAAAATTTTGTTTACATGGTTTCCTGGTCCACAGAAGATAACAGAAAGACAAGAAGAAGAAAGGGGCTAGAAGTCATCTCAAAGAAGTAATAAAAAATATGAGTCAACAAACAGGCCAGAGCCCATTAGTGCAGAGACAAACAGCTCTGTATACCTCAGCAGCCAGCAAGAAAATTAACTACACCACAGCACAGAGAGAAGACATATCCATAACCACCTTTAGTCGGTAAGACAATATTAAGTGCTAGCTCATATAATATCTCTTTGCAAGCAGGAAAGTGTGTACCTTTTACAAATATTTTCATAAAAATGGATTTAAAAGTTTTAGAGTACAAAGAGGGAAGGCCTCAATTCCCTTGAAAATATTTGTGTGGCATCCCTGAGGATGACAAAAAAGACACTTTTCCTAAGCACATTCCAAGTGCTCATCTACTCCTGAATATCAAGTGGCCCTCTGGACTACATTTTCTTCCATTAAAAATAACTCCTGTGACCTTCCAACCTATAGTTCCATTCATAAGCACAAACAATTTTGCGAGCCCAGCATGCAGATGTTTACCTTCTTAACCTCTGCCCTGTACTCATTGTTATGTCCTTCCATCTTCTTCAGTTCTTCATACTTTTCCATTAGTTCCTGGCTCAACTGTTTACATGTTGTACTTACAGATTCCAAGCTGTATGAAAAAAATAGGATCACATGTTTAAAATAGAACCCTAAAACCCACAAACTGAATTATCTAACTTACCTTTTTGATGTCCAAGACATCAAAAACATCACCTCAAATTAAAACTCACTTCCAATTTCCTTATCACCAGAGGCAGCTAAATCCAACTCAAACTCTTAGAGATACTTTTGATTTCTGTGTTTACCTATAGTCTTTCCTTCTGCTTAAAATTTAACTGGTTACAAAATGCTAAAGATTACAGCTAATTTTCCCTCTCTAGTTGTACAGGATTTGCTGTCATAATCTAAATCCTCACTGCACTTAATTGCAATCCCAGCCTACACACAGCTGCCAGAAAACTCTTCTCTAAAGAGTTCCCAACTTGTCGCCCTTACTTAAGAATCAATCCCTTATCAGATATAGGAACCTCAGGGGCACCATACCTCTCTTATCTCACTGCACATTTCTACTAATAAAATCATTTGCTTCTAAGTCAACAGGCTTTACTGTCTGTCGTGTGCCATTTGTCACACGTGACTTCCTGTCTCTGCACACATCGTCTCCTTGACCACAAAGTACCTTCCTCTCCCACCTGCAATGGATGGTGAGCATCCTTTCAAGAATCAGATCAGCATTTACCTGATAGAGCTGCCCCAACCCTCATTCCCCTAATCATCTTAAATACAATTTATTTTCCATTTTTTATAGCTTGAATGTACAAATTTTCTAGAATTTTCTATCTTAAATCTCTACTTTAAATTGCTCAGGTCCAAAACATGTATATTTTGTCTACCGAACTACAAATTCTATAATTAAAATAATGTCTTTTACTTCTTGTTTCCCTCCGGCTTTGCCCACCATCCCCCCTCAGCCCCTGGATCATTTGTTCTAAACTGTTCAATAAATGCTTAATAGCTACCTAGAGTATTTCAGCAACACAGTCAACTTACCAGATAAGCTATCATTCAAAAATACCATCTTTACAATACAGCAACACACTAACAATTATTTAAATCCCTCCAGTTAAAGAATATTTTATTCAAACTGAACATCACAAATAAATTATCTAAAAGGGTTCCTCTTCTAGTTGCCTTTCGATACAAAAAAAGAATTTTTTAAAGCCATTGTTTTAGTACTGAACACTGATGTTTGTATTCATTCATTCCAATTTTACCTATCTCTAAAAATCCCAGAGTGCTCTTTTGTTTGGTACTTGGTATGTCAAACACTGAGTTAGAAAGATGAGAGATAACCTTGTCCTATCTACAGTGGAAAAATTGGGGCCTACAGAGGCTAAGTGCCCAAGGTCACACTGCAGGTCAGAGCAAGAGGCAAGTCTCCAGGCCTGAGGAGAGCACAGTAAAATACCGATACATGTTACAGATTACTCAGAAGCCAATCAATGGAAAATCTATGGCAAAAATGTTAAATCAGTACTACTGTCAAAAAGAATAATGAGATTTTATCTTATTTTATTCAGTCTAAAGTGTGCACATATACCTCAACGATGATAACCAGGAATATCTTAAGTATTCCAAGGTGAAAAAGAAATAAAGCAAGAACTATATGCATGTGTGTAGGCATGTATATTTAACATGTAAAGAAAATACTTGGTGGTTTCCAAAAACAAAAATTAAAAACAAAAAAGGTATTACTTAAAGATAAACTTAAAAGGGTAAAAACAGCAATTTTATTTTTTAAAAAAACAACATATTTATTGATTTCAGAAAGAGGAAAGGGGGGTGACAGAGAGAGATAGAAACATCAACAATGGGAGAGTCACTGATCGGCTGCCTAGCCCGCAACCCGAGCATGTGCCCTGACCGGGAATCGAACCCCGATCTCCTGGATCCTAGGTCGATGCTCAACTGCTGAACCATGCCAGCCAGGTAAAAAACAGCAATTTTTTGTTGTTTGTTTGCCTAAAGGCTAATAGTTTATATTTTTTATCTTTTAGATACAGAAACTGTTAGTGTATAAACAGTCATGATTCGTGTTTAAATAAAATATCAAACTCTCCCCAGTCAAAAAATTTAGAGGTATGACAAACAAAGTTCACAAGTATGACAACAATACAAGTGAGCTCGGCGTGGTATAGCACAAATCAGGATTAAATTAATACCAGGGAAATACCGAAAGCATTTCAGAACAGAGGGAGGGAGCGCCTCATATCCAGTGTGACTTGCCAAGGGCAGGTCCAGTGAGGTGGCTGGTGGAAGGAAAGCGTAACTGAAAGGAAAGCGTAACTGAAGGGGTAGCACACAGGTGGAAGGTGAAGAGAAACTGACAGCACAGACAACTCTTTTGAATAATTTGGTTTTGAGGGAGAGCAGAAAAATATGGAAGTAACTTGATGGGGATATAGGATTAAAGAAAGGTTTAAGTATCTTCCCCAAGATGGGAAACATTAAAGCATATTTTATACAACTGGAAAAGTTATTTATCAGAAAGGAAGAACTTTATGATGCAAAAGAGAAGAGAAAAAACTGTGGGAACAGTACACAAGTGGAGTTTTAGGAGCACGGACATGTCACCCATCAATTAATCCACTGTAACAGATTATGGGCACAGATGTAGGCAGACTGACAGATTTGGTGGCAGAAAGATGAGGAAGTTTTCCTTTAATTGCTCCTGTTTTCTCAAAGAATAAGAAGTTAGGCCATTTGTGGATGCTAGAAGAAAAAAAACTTTGTTTTTTCACTATTAGTTTATCAATATAATGATCAACATCATTTTTAACAACTTGACCACTTTTGAAATGTGTATATGAGTATCTATCTACCTGCTTTCCAGATGAGTCACCTCTGCCTGCAGAAGTTCCTCACTCGTGTGGGTAAAATCCAGCTGGGAGAGCACGTTGTCTAAGTCCTGTTCTTGCGAGGTGTACCGCCTTTCTGTCTGAGACTCCTCTAGTGACCTGTGAGAGGATACAGGGAACTACTAAAGGCCCTTTATCTTTGCATACAAAAACAACACGCAACACGTTCAAATTTCCCAACCGTTTTTTTGTAAACGAAACTCTCTGGGACTCTTCAGTTTGTCTCCTGCTCTAGGAAAAGAACACTGGGGTAGTAAAGAGGAAAGAGATGATGCTTCTAAAAAATGTCAGCAGCAGTGTACCCTTTCCCAACTTGAACTTGGCCTCATTTTCAACGGGAAAAAAAAAAATGATGAAAATCACTTTGTTGTCACTTTATACCCTGAGTCAGAGAAACTGGAAAATTATCAGAGTTCTGGCAACAATAGAAATGCACACCAGAGTTTAATCAAGCAAAAAGAGCACAGCTCCTTCTATTTCTTTCCACTACAAACCTCACAGCAGCAACTCATATCAGAAATAGTCAGTTTTAGAAACTTTTTTAAAAGGGCCATCTCAAAGCTGGCCTATCTATGATATTGATGATAAACAGCTGATAATCATGGCCTAATCCACCAAGGAAGGGAGGCCTTCCAGGAGATGTGAGCTATAATTCCTTTCACATTTGGAGTTTGGCCAAGGGTACAGATTGACCAAGCGGTTCCTAACTTTCTAAACATCAGTCTCTAGGCTAGGGACCCAAATTGGAGGCAAAAAAACAACAACAAACCACACAAAATTTTATAACACTATAAAAATTTAACTCAGAAATTAAAACTGAATAAGAAAACCCATAATATGGTCAAACACAAAATTAAAAATATGAAACATTAAGACTGGTGCTTGATGTCAAAACACCAAGTGGCTAAGATTAATATTTAAGATGAAATATACCTTATGGCCTCTGTTGTGTGTTGAGTGTCAGATGCTTTTAATTTTGCTCGTAGTTTCTCCTTTCGCACTTTTGCCTCATGGATGAAATTTTCTTGAGACTGAAGAGTTGCCTTTAATTGTCTCTTTTCTTCCTGCAAGACCTAAAAATTACTCAAAAAAAGGTCAGATATTATTACAATTTTCCTATTTCAAAAGAAAAGTAAACCAGGGAATCAGACTGTAAGTTATATAACAGGCACTACATTAATAAGACTACAAGTATCTGACCCACCAGATACATAATAGGAAAGAAACCATAGATTTTGGAAATGGTTCCAGATTAATTACTCTCTCTTGAAACATACATACATACATACATTTCCCCAATTATAGTAATTTTAAAACACACCTCTAACAGTTTTTCAGATTCCCTCAATTTTTCTTCTTTTTGCCGCTGCTCTTGCATAACAGTCATATTGGTTCCAACCAAGTCATTGACCCTCATGTTGAGGCGCTCTATTTCCAACTCATTGGCACAGATAGTGTCATTGGCCCGCTCCAGCTTACCACTCAGGTGCTGAATTTCTGACTGGCGGGACAGCTCTACAGACTCTAATTTCTGTTTCCGGTTGGCAAGCTGAGCCTAGAAAAACACAGATTACCAATAGGTAAAAGTGAAATGATAAAAGAATAATCAATGAATAAGGAAAACTAAAATGAAACTGAGCTTTACTTCCGTAAAAAACATAAAACATTAGCTCATTAAAAATATAACCCATTCATGGTAAAAAAAAAAAAAAAAAACTCTCATGATAAAAACTAGGCATAGAAGGGAACCTTCTCAACTTGATAAAGACTATCTATAAAAACCATACAGCTACAGCATAGGGAATAACGTCAATAACACTGTAATAACTATGTATGGTATCAGGTGGGTACTAGACTTATCAGGGGGGTTACTTCATAAATTATATAAATGTCTAACCATTATGATATACATCTGAAACTAATATAAAATTGTTATTATATTTTATATTATATTTTATTTTTCAGCTGTAATTGAAAAATAAAAAAAGAATTTAAAAACAAACAAAGAAAAACCATACAGCTAACATTATACTTAATGGAAAAACATGAAGCTTTCTCACTAAGGTCAGGTATACAGCAAAGTTGTTCCCTCTCACCACTCATTTTCAACATCGCACTGGATGTCCTTGCTAATGCAATAAGGCAAAAAAGGAAAGCAAAAGGTATGGGAGACATACAATTGTCTTTGTTCACAGATAACATGATCATCTATGTAGAAAATCTGAAAGAATCAACAAAAAGAACTCCTAAAATTAATAAGCAATTATAGCAAGATTGCAGATACAGGTTAACATACAAAAGTCAATCACTTTCCTATATACCAACAACGAACATGTGAAATTTAAATTAAAAATAATTAAATACTAAGTATAAATATAACAAAATATGTACAAGGTCTGTATGAGGGAAACTACAAAACTCTGATGAATGAAATCAAAGAATTAAATAAATGGGGATATATTCCATGTTCACGGGCAGGAAGACTCAATATTATATGGATGTCAGTTCTTCTCAATGTGAACTATGAATTCAACACAAAAGCAATCAAATCCCTTCAACTAGCTTTATGAATATCAACAAACTGATTCTAAAGTTTACATAAAGAGATAAAAGACTAAGACAATAGAAATACCCTAAAAGAAAAATGAGCAAAGGACACAAACAATTTACAAAAGAATGGAAATGGTCATAAGTAGATGAAATAATGCTCAACCTCATTCATAACTGAAATACAAATTAAAAGGAATAATCAGATGCCACTTTTTTCACCCACCAGATTAGCGAACACAAGCCTAAAAGTAGGGAAAATTAAAAGAAGTAATAGTGTCCAATATTGGAAAACTGTGAGAAAATGGACATTCCCAAATATTGCTAGTAAGTCTGTATCAACACATCTTTGGAGAGCACTTAAACAATATACGTTAAAATCTTAAAGCATGTACAGCTACTCTGATGCAACAATTGCACTTCTAGGGCCATATCCTAAGAAAATAAATAAACATATATTCCTAAATGTTCATAAAAGGGTGTTCTCCCAAGCACTCACTATTTATAAGAGTGAAAAAGTAAAAAACTAAATGTTCTACCATAAAGGACTGGTTACATAAATTATGGTGCATTTAATGGTAGACTGAACTTCTATGCAATCATTATGACCACATATTTGTTGACATGTCATATTTAAAAAAGAAAACTTTTCAACTTGTGAAAATTAAATATTGTATTGTAAAGTGCTTAGCATAGAGCCTGTCACAGAGTAAGCACTCTATGTTTTAAAGTTATGTTTTATAGAAAATTTCAAATATACACAAATATAGAGAGAATAAGACGATGAACCCCTATATATTTTCATCACCTAGCTCCAACAATTAACAACTTGCCATTCTTGGTAATTTTTAAAGTTTGCAACTATCCCTCCCTTATGATGTGTTTTTCTACCAAATGTATATGAATGCAATGTACACTGCATATAAGCACAGAAAAGGGTGGGAGAAATTTACTCCAAAATATTAATCATGGTAAATCTCTAAAGGATAGGATTATAGGTAACTTCATTTAATTCTCACTTCATCTACATTTTCTCCTATTTCTAAAATGGGCATGTGTTATGTCATTTCAATGGCTGACTGAAAGAAAAGAACTCAAGCAAATACATAACTCAAAGGGTTAGAAGTTATTCTGAGCCTCATTTTTGAATGTTAAGAAATATGTAAGAAAAACATTTACATCAAGAATTTTTTAAAATTGGGGGAAAGCATCAATGTTGATATCCACTTATCCAATCTCCCCGTCTTCTACCTTTATTGTTCAAAGTGACTCATATATGAACAAAATGCAATGTACTTTTATTGGATTCAATTTGAGCATCAAACTGTAAAATGACATTATTTCAGACAACTGGGGAAATTTGAACACACTGGATATTAAATTACGTAATAAGTTATCTATTCTGCTAACGTGATACTGGTATACTAAAAGTATGTTTTTTAAGTTCTTATTGCTGGGAAAGAGACAATGTGTGTCACATGCTTTGTAATCCTCCAGCCCAATAAGAAGCAAGGAAGGCTGAAACAAGATTAGCAGATGAGTTTTCAATGGGCACAGTCTTAGATTTTGCACTTTGAAAGGTACTCAACAATCTGCATACAGTTAACATTACTGTGCTATATATACTCTTTAAAGTGGTTAAGATGGCAAATTACAGTTTTAAAAAACGATTGGCAAAATGATAACTATTAATGCTGGGTAACGGTACAAAAAAGTTTATTAAAAAGTTTTTGTGGTTTTTAATGAGGCCCATGCAACTCAGCTACAGAGTGAATCACAGAAAGACTTTCTTTGGTTAGTTTGCTGAGGGAGAGAGAGAAATGTGAATAACGTTTTCTTTAGCTAAACAGCAGCTTTAACTAAAACAAAACCACCAGAAGAATAATTCAAACGCCCTAGAAGGGAAACAAACATTAGCTTTCTAAAGGCTTTTCACTCCAGCCCAAGCTGAAGTGTGGTAAATAAAACCTCACTTTACAGCCAAGTTTCAATTATGCAGCGTAATCACAGTAGTAAGTTGAAAATAAAGGATCTGCAATCAACAGTAAGTATTCACCATAGATGAATAATTGAAAACTATTAAAAGCTCAATTTTCTTTTTTTGCCAACCTGAAGGCTACAATTAGAATATAATGATACCTTATGGGTATTTATGTTTACTTAGTGCTTAGTTCAGGTAAAAAAATCTCAAGTCTAGACATTCAGAATTTTATTGGCCCATTCTGGTTATGTAGCTTACTGTAGCTTTGAAAATAAGTTTACTCTCTGAGGCCGCTGTGAGTCCTCCTGCCATTCTCAGTGGAGTCACTCACAGCAGAGCCATTAGTGGTGTTTATCAGCCAGCTGATATTTCAGGGGCATGGTCAAAAGCCAATACATTGCCCTCGCTGGTGTGGCTCAGTTGGTTACACGTCCTCCCAGGCACCAGCAGGTTGCTAGTTGGTTCCTAGTCAGGGAACATGTCTAGGTTGTGGGCTAGATCCCCAGTAGGGGGCATGCAGGAGGCAGCAGACTGATGTTGCACTCTCACATTGATGTTTCTCTCTCTTCTCCCCCTCTCCCTTCCTCTCTTTCTAAAAGTCAATAAACTACTCTTTAAAAAAAAAGCCAATACATTACAGAGACTTGAAGCAAAAAATAAGCAGATTATTTTCTTTTTTAAATAAAAAGCTTCCCTCCAGCTCTCTTAACTTATTCAGTCTATTCCCTCCTTCTATAAAACTGGTAACTACCAATCTCAACAGATTATCATATAAAACAGATAACATATAACTATATATTCTAGAGAATTGTATCTAGAAGCAGCATTGATTGAGACAGTGTCTAGCACATAATAGATAGTCACAAATATTCATTTCCCTCCATGTTTCCCATTATTTTCTTGGTTCTTAATTGAAAAAGCAAACAAACTGAATGTGTCACAAAAAGAAATATTCCTAAATTGGTGGCTATATTTTGGTTTTGCTTAAGCCATTAGTTCTTCATTAAAAAACAGTTTGTACTAGTGTTCTAAAAAGTGTTTCTGTTGCCACAAAGATACTGCTTTTAATTAGTGTGCACACCAATGCAGTGTGAATCTCTCAGCATTTGTGTCCAAACAGGGAGACTTGCTGAAGCTCCCGCTGAAGCACCTCAGCCAGTGTATGCCAGATACCACAGTCAGAGCAAGACACAGCCAGAAACAGCCAGAACAGGTAAGCCAGAGACACAAAGAAAGGGAAAAGACAGAGAGAACAGGGGTAGAAAAACAGAAGTGGAGGGAGAGGGGGAGAGAACAAGATTGGGAGAATGAACATGAATGTGAGCATAGGGCGAGCACCAGAATTAGAGACACCAACAGAGTGAGAGCAAGAGAGCAAGCATGAGTGAGGGAGAAAGGAAGCCAGGGAGGAAAGCAAGCAAGCAAAGGAACAAGTGGGCATGAGGACACACGTGGATATGAGTAAGCACATGTCTACTGCATCAAGCTAGTTCAAATTTAATCAAAACCTCTCTGCCTTGAATTCTTTTAAAACGTCTTAAGTCCTACCTGAATGATCTCTGATTGTTCAGCCAGAGCTTTCCTTTGGGCCTCCAGAGAGGATACCTGTTGCTGATAAATCAAACGTTGCTTCTCCCAGTCCAGTGATTTCTGACGAAATTCCTGAAGAGGCAATTAAGGCACTTAACTTCTAAGTACTTCCCTTGCTGTCATACTCCCAGATTCACTTTTACTTTAATTTTCCCCATGTCCCTGGGTACACACACCCACAGCAGGAGCCCCATTACTCACTTAGCTGATAGACTGTAGAGTAATACTGAATTCCTTACATACTGTGTATCTGGGTATCTGTCTTTCTAAATTTAACGCCCTAATGGTGAAGAGTAGGAAACAGAGGGGCTAATACTGGGTTCATGACCATTTTCACTGATTTGCTGCCACCTAAGGGTTATTATAATTTTAGTTATTTTAGTAATTTTTCAGAAAACTGATGCTAAGATAGTTAACTAAAATTTCAAAATATGATTACAGATATCCCTCGCTAGCCAAATTCTTTTTTTTTTTTTTCAATCCTCTCCCAAGGATATGTTTTCATTGATTTTTAGAGACAGAGGAAGGGAAAGAGAGAGAGAAACATCGATGTGAGAGAGAAGGGGGAGAGCATGGACAGTTCCTCCAGCAGGAAGGCAGAGCACATGGGCACAGCTGCAAATAGGTGGATAGAAAGTATTGGAAGTTTGTGAGAATTCTCTTCTCATTGCTTCTACTTTCTCAGTGAAACAGAAAGTGAGATCATCACCCAAAGGTGAGGAGGTGGGGAAAAGTGTTGAAAGTTTGAGAAGAGAAAAGTATGAAACAGTCACGGAAAGCAGGAGAGTGGAAATACAGTATGATTCTGGGTAGCACTGGTACCCAATTGAGGTGAGCAACCACAAACTTAAAATGAGGTCAGCCAGCATGATTACGTTCTCCAGCCATGTTCTGCCACTCACAGCAAGTACGGAGTGGGCAGAAAGCAGGACTTAACCAGAGTTATGGTTTTGCCAAGCAAATATAATGAAGCAAAAGGAACACAGGCACTGAAGGGGGGTGTAAGTAATGTAACCATGGAATTTACACTGAGTAAGGACTGATAAGTGAGGACACGAGGTAGATATGGAACAGTGAAGAGAGGTGGCCGAATTCATTCACTTTAAGGGAGGGGGTCAAGTATTACTGAGAGGCCAGGGACTAGAGGGAGAGTGAGCTGAAAAGACAGGGATGGTAGTCAGAGAATGAGATGCTTCAAATGTGATTCTAGGAGGGCTGCAAGTATTGGTAATGTCAACACCTAAGGAATGGTGATGGGAATAGATGGATGAGTCAGGGAGGAGATCAGAATATCTAAGGAGAAAAGAACACCAAGGAATTTGAAGACCAAGGGTACTATAAAACTGAACACTAAAACCCTCAAGAATTATGATAAGAGAGTGGCAATGAACTAGGAGCTGAAATCTTTGAACCAGGGGAATAATCCAGGGATCAGAAAGTGACTACTTTGGTTGTACGTACATTGGTTGGTGATATAGGCTGATGACATGAAAATCAAAGATGGGGTTTCTGAGGTAGAAAGAAAAGAGATTGGTCAGGAAATAGTAATGAGGAATTTGCGGGGGAAAGTCCAGGTATCACTGAAGAGTGTGAGAGAGGAAGCAGTATCTCTGCAGTCCTCAGTTTCTAAGCTTTTCAAATGTATAAAAATATTGAGATGCACAAGAATATTCAACAGAAATTGCAATTCTAGGTAGTAATAATATATTGGCATTTAACAGATTGCTCTGAGTAGAAACATTGTAAGTAATCATAAAAGGATGTTGAACAATGTTTCTCAAATTAGAATCAGCTACGGGAGTTGGATAAAATGCAGATTCCTGGGTCCCATGCCATACTACTGGATCAGCATCTCTGGGAACCTGAAGAGGACTCTGGGTGGTTCCTAGGTGCACTGGAGAACCAACGGCAGAGACAGAGGAGGGGAGCGGCAGATTCCTGGAGAAAAGTGTCAGCCCTGTGCTGCTGCTCCATCTACTCTTGGCAATGTTAACTCAACGCTCCCTCAAGGTCTTCAGGGACTCGATATAGTACACAATAATCAAAGTCAGCAAAGAGGGAGGTAAATGGCTCACTATATCTGAATGGGCACTGAGGACAAACAATCTGATATGCAGAGTACTCTGTACAGAAGAGCCCTGTGCTTTCAATATTTACTAGGCCCCTACTCTGATAAGTAAGACAAGGACACTGCCACCAAAGATTGCTAGTAACTGGTGGTCAATGTTTCTCAGTATTAGCATTCTGGGTACAATAATCCTTTCTATGTGGATCAGTCCCCAGCATGTTTAGTGTCCCAGGTCTCTGTCCCCTAAATACCAGTTTCACTCCCAGTCATTTTGACAACCAAAACAATGTCTCCATATAGTCTCAAATGCCCTTGAAAGGTGGTACTGCTCTGTTGAGAATTACTGATAACTAGTAACCCCGTCAACGAAAGGGAATCATAAGATGATAGGATGTATAGATCACCCTTGACCTTTGAAATAGCTTGGTGGCAGTCCTCGAGATGGGAGAAAATTGATTTCAGAAACGAACACTACCAGAAACAGCACTGTCCTCTAAGAAGGCTGACAATCACTATGAAGAAATTATTACTATGAACATACCTCTATTTTTCCGGTTAACCTCTCAATTTCAGACCGATCTTCCCTGTGGTTTTTGGAGTTTCCTCTGAAGTCCCTTATTTGCTTTTTCTGTAGTTTTTCATAGCTTCTCTTCAGTCTGCCTAACTGTAGACACAGTTATTTCTAGACTTAAAATTTAAGAATATGTAAACAGTGGTGGTGGAGCAAATTGGTATTGTGAAAGCAAGAGCAGTGCGAAATAGTACTACCAAAAATAGATTAAGAGCATCTTTGATTTGCAAATTAATACAAAACAACTCAAACTATATATAAAACATAAACACTAGAGAAGAAATACATTGAGTCAAAGATAGTATAAAGGGAAAATATTTTTAACAAAACTTTGTTATTACAAAAGCCCTGGGCTTAGGATCCCCGCAGTTCCTCCCACCCCCATAAAAGCAGCAAGGCTGTGGTTTTGAGCCATTCTCCTGCGGAACCCTGAGAGTCAGGGGAGAAGTATTTTGGAATGAAATTAAAAGTAATTTTCCCAATCTTAACAACAAAATTGAGTTGACAAATTGTCTTACTTATTTATCCCAAAATGCTTCTGAAACCTTTGGATCCTCCATTACTTAAAATCTAGTAACTGACTTAACTCAAAAATAATATTTAATGTAAGTTTTTGGTATCAATAGGTCACAGTATTATACAAAAATAGCTTTATTTCTTTCAGGTACTCAACCAAGAAACACATTTTAGAACCTCTGTTCTAGGTAGCATCAAATGTATAATTAGGCCAAGATTCTTTGCCTGGACTTAAGAACAGAGAAATCAGTTCCCACCCCTGTTCCTCCCAGGGAACATGTACTTCCCACTTTACAAAGCAGAAACTGGCCCATTAACAAAATTCTCAAGGATTAAAGAGACAAAATAATACAACACATAACAGAATTAAAATCTCACTTCTTCATGTAGTTTCTTTAACTCCTGCTTATATTCCATGGCTATCTCCTGCTTGGCTTTTTCATGTTCTTCCACCTGCTGACGCAACATTCCAACCTACAAGTAGACAGGTGGTAGCAGTGTTCATTATTAGCATTGAAACAATATCCCTGAAACATAAAAACAGAAAATAACCTTTGTACTTATCTGTAAACACAAGTTCTCAATTGTATATGGTATTACCCCACTTCTCATTTAAGTCAAATATCTAATTATTTAATGGTCTACAGCATTGCCATAAATGAGAAACAAACAACTGTTCTATTTCTACGTTTAGATGAAAACTTGTTCTCACTCTCTGATTTAGTCTCCATAACCCTTTCTATAAAAAAAAATTTTTTTAATACAACACATGAAAAAATTAAGAGATATACAGTTATAAGAACCTTGGAAACTAAGAATATTGAACAAAACTCTGAGACGGCAAGAATAAGTTCTATAAATCAAAATGCAAAATAGTAATGTCAGACAGAAAAGACAGTGGGAGACTTACACCTGCCTTACCATTTATCCCAATTCAGAGAAATCAGTTCCACCAACCAGAGCAAGGACATTATCCTAACCCATTTCACAATGGTTTGAAACTAGCCACAGGCAGTTCAGGCCCAGCCCTCACCTCCATCAATATCCATCAGTATTTCTCGGCCTCTCTCCCAGTTAGAACTGCATCTGTTAGTAAGTGAGGAGGGAGCGGGGTGAGGAGGATCAGGAGGTAGTAATCTCAAATACAATATAGAATGGTAATTTTAAAAATAAAGCAAAAAATAGATCTTAAAAGTTCTCATCACAGGAAAAAAATTTGTCACTATGTATGACGATGATATTAAGCAGACTTATTGCAATAGTCATTTTGCAATTTATAAAAATATTGAATCATTACACTGTACACATGAAACTAATATAATGTTATAGCTCAATTATACTTCAATGTAAAAAACAGGAAAAAATTCTTATAAGAACAAAGAGTTAACACAATTCCAATGAAAAATTCTAGTAGGATTTTTTTTTTGAACTTGAAAAAGTGATTCTGAAGTTTAAACTGGAAGAATGATTAAATGTAGCTAATAAAATGGAAAAGAGAAAAACTACTCTTTAAAAAAGATTTAGTGAATATTTACTGGATTTCTGGGTAGGAGGAAACTTTCTAAGCTTAAAACTGAGTCATTTCAAAATAATAAGATTTGACTGAGAAAACCATTTATAAAAATGTTTTAAAGAATTTTTAATTTTTAGGTATCTTCTCACTTGTTTCCACTATGTTCAGAGATCATTCTCTATGATTTCAAGCCTTTGAATTGTGTTGAGATTTACCTTCTGGCCCAGCAAATGGTCAATTTTGGAAAGAGTTCTGTTTGTGTTAGAAAAGAACGTGTACTCCAACTCCCCTTGTGCAGAGTTCTGTATGTATAACTTAGGTCAAGTGTTGATCACGATGCTCAAATCTATATCCTTACTGATATTTGTCTCTTGTTCCATCAGTTACTAAGAAAAACAGGTTACAGGTTGTGGGCTCAATCCCCAGCAGGGGGCCTGCAGGAGGCAGCTGATCAATGACTGTCATCATTGGTGTTTCTATCTCTCTCTGAAATCAATAAAGATACATTTTTTTAAAAAGGGGGGGTTTAAAATTCCCCTATACTATTATGACTTATTCTATTTCTCTTTGTAGTTCTGCCTCTTTTTGCACACAGATAAGGGAGAACGGGAGAGAAATTTCTTTTTAAACTATTTTATTAGATATTTACAAATTTCAATTTTTTGGGGGTTTGTTTTAGTTTGAGTTCTCCCAAAAGTGTAGCCTGAGGCATGGACTTCAGAGCACATAATTGGAAGTGATCCCAGGTAGCACAGTGAGGAAATGGGAAGGGAGACCCAAACAAGGAAGAAAAGCCAATAAAAGGGTGTGTGATTGAGTCTATTTCTTCAGTTAAGCAGCTGGGGCTAAGTGACACTGGGAACTCACCAAGGAACCAGACAGAATGTGTTTCAGAATTGTCCCTCCAGGATGAGAAGCTGCAGAATATGCACCAGTTCCAGTTCCCCCACTGCTTAAGGCCTGCCTGCCCCATGAGTGTTAACATCCCCACACTTCTAGGTTTCACCTGAGCAGCCTTCTAAGGCTCCAGGAAGAGAAGCATAGGTAGTGAGATGCTGGCAGTGCACAGGAGCCGTTGCACAGCCAAGATGAAATCAGGAGGCACAGGCCACAAAAAATGTCTGCTACAGTTACGTGCACTGAAATTTCATATTTTATCATTATGAAGTGTTTCTCTTCACCTGAGTAATGTTCATTGCTTCTGCCTCAAGTTCACTTTTTCTAATATGAATATACCTATACAATATTTCTACTCAAAGTGTTTTACATGATACACAGTTTTATTTTTATTTCAACTTTGCTGTACTTCACAAACACCAAATAATTGAGTTTAATTACTTTTACCCAGCTGGAAAATTTTTGTCTTTTAATTGAGCCACTTAGTGTATTTACATTGAATGGACTTCTTTGGATTTAAATCTATCATCTTATTGAGTGCTATTTGTACTTAATAAGCTTTATGTTCCTTTTTCTCTCCTTTTTTGCCTTCTTTGGAACTGGTAACTTATCATTTCATTTCTTTCCTATTAGCTTGGGAGATATATACTCTATTAATATGTTAATATATACTTCTAATGGTTCTCTCAAGATTAAAACATGGGTCTGTGATTGAACAAATCTAATGTTAATTAGTTGTTTTACCAATTCCCAGGCAACCCAAGGACTATAGAAATACTTTGATTCCATTTACACCCCCAAATCTGACTTAAATGAGATCATAATCCTACACATGTGTTAAATTGAAAGGTTATTGTTGTTACTGACAGTCAATCTTCATTTAAATTTACCCACATATTTACTATTTCATTTCTTCCTTAATCTCTTAAGCTTCCATCTGGGATAACTTTCCTTCTTCTTCTATTTTATTTCATTTCATTTCATTTCACTATTATTTCATCATCATTTCATTTCATTAATTTTTTCCATCATCATCACTTTCCTTCTTCCTGAAGAAAATTCCTTAGTATTTCCTTGGTGCAGGTCTGTCAATGACAAGTTCTCTCAAGTTTTGTTGATTTGATCTTTATTCTGGGTATAGATTTCTGGTTTGGCGGGGGAAAAAGTCATTTCTTTGTAGATATTCTAGTCTTCTGGCTTTCACTGTTTTAGCTATCAAGTCAACTGTTAAGAACTGTTTGTAGATAATCTGTCTTTTATCTTGGTAGATAATCTTTCTGGTTTTGTTTGTTTCTTTGACTGCTTTTCAGATTTCTATTTTGTCTATAGTTTTCAACCTAGGTAAATATTTCTTTTTATTTATCTTGCTTGAGATTCTTGGATTTCTTAAATGCATTGTCTTTCTTGCTTTGGGCAAAAACCTCAGCCAATTTACCTCCCAATACTGCTTCGCCCATTCTCTCTTTTCTCTTTCAGGGATCCCAAAGTGCTCCCTGTGTCCTCTTTCTCTTCTATATTTGCTTTCATTTTGTCTATGCTTTATTCTAAACATTTTCTTTTGTGCCATCTTCCAGTTTACTAATTACCTCAATCTTTAAGACCTTGATTTCAATTATTCTATTTCTCAATACTCTAATGTCCACTCATTTTGGAGTTTTTTTATAGTTTCCAATTCTTTCTTGAATTGCACAATCTTATCTTTAGTCTCTCTGAACACAGTAAATATAACTACTGGAAAGTCTAAGCATGATAATACCACTATCTAGATTTGCCTTGGGTGTGCTTCTATCATCTATTGCCTCTGTTTTTTATAATTTTTTTGTCTTGCTCCTTATGTGTCTGATGTTGCCTCCTCAGTGGTTATCAAGCATTATATTTGCAAACTTATTTGAAGAAATAATTTGAGAGCCAGAATGGTGATTTTTTTCCCCTTTGGAGAGAAAATGTAAGTTTGCTTTTTTCTAGGTTCCTGGAAGCCCTAGCACTCTGGAGCTGCCTAGCACTCTGGAGCTACTCTAGATCACCTTAAACTAATTCAGAGATTTAAATGTCTGCAGCTTAATAGCAGTTTGGCCCTACATCTGGCCCATCCTTACTCCTTTCAGGTTCCCAACCCAAAACGAGGAGGGATTCAGGCCCACGTTGGACATCAAATCCTTTATTCTCTTAACCCCTTGAAGTTATCAAAAGCCCTATTCAGTCTCTACCTGCTCTCAGCTGCCATCTCTAGTTTCAGCTAATAATTGCCCCAAACCCTGAGCTCACTTCTGTGGACCTAGATAGCTCAGTGCAGACCCTGGCCTGGTAATTCTTCACTGTCCTGTTAGCACTCTACTTCAAGCGGACTTTTTTTTTTTTAATCTAACTTATCTACTTGTCCTCAGTAGGTGAACTGGCGCAAATTACCTAGTCTGCCATTACCAAATGTTAAAGTCTGAAAGATCACATTTAACTAAAAATATCCTGAGTGAAATTTACTTCTAAAGCAGGATTCCACAGCCAATCAAACTTTCAATCAGATGCGAAGAGAGAATAAAGGTATTTTTTGATGCATAAAATTATGTTCTACCAAAATGAAGAAGTAAATGTATAAAAGCTCCAGAATAATGGTGAAATGAGTTCCCAAGATGAAACTCTCCTGCATGCCTATATACTGTATCCATATTTGAGAATGGCAAGCTCCAAAAAAAAAAAGAAGAAAATAGGTACAGTACCTGGCATGTCTGAAAACAGTGAGAAAACTTACATTTGTGTCAGAGTTTGGGAAGTATCACTGGTAGGTATGCTTTTAAAAAGCAAATGAAAACAAGACAATTATTCAATCCCAAGAAAATAAAAATTACACAAGAAATAAGTTTGATTATCATTATACTATCTGACTAAGCTGTGAATAATATTTACCATCTTAATGATGTAAATACTGAAAACCTAGCTAACCAAAAATTAAGATATGTAATCCTGGCAGGATGAGGGAATGGAAATAGTATGGAAGAGAGCAAAATCCTTAATTTTCATAGTAGATAATCATTAGATATAGAGCTAAACCTGAAAAGTAGGATATGTAAGTATAAAATGTTACTTAGAAACATGGGGAAAATACCAAAAGAAAGAGAAAGGCATCGAAATGAGTGCTTCAGAGAAGCAGGAATCCTAGGTTCAGGGGGGTGGGACAGACAATCACTGTTTTTCTTTATGAGCCTGTAGGACCATTTTTCTTTGTGCTTATTATATATGGCAAACATAAATATTAAATGTGAAGGAAAGATTGTTTCATTTTATGTACCAGGATCTGGCTCATAATGGGCACTCAAAATATTTAACTGTCTTAAACAAAAGGAGGGGAAAAAAGAGGTTAAACCTGAGAGTGAGGGATGGCAGGAGGCAGAGAGACGGGGGCCAAGGTTTGAAACAGTTAGTATGGGTGACAGAAGGGCTGAAATCACTGATTCTAAATGCAATTTATAGTTTTCAAAGTGCTTTCTTAAACAGTAACTCAATCTTCACAACAACACTGTGACTTAGGGTTTTTAATCCTAATTTTACACATGATGAAACAGCCTCAGAGAAGTTAAATTATTTGTTCAAGGCCAGTCAGTTGAGAAGAGGCAGAGCCAGGACTCCAAATTCCTTACTCATTTCATTAAGTCTACCTGCTCTGTAGGGTGTGACAAGGTAACAGCAGCAGAAATGTCCATTAAAACCAACCCAGTCCCAACAGTGTAATCAGAAAACATATAAAGCATTCGCTTAAAAAATGGGCTGTTTATACGTACAACCTATGAATGGGCAGGCACTGGCCACAACAGCAGGTATGAGGAGCTTGAGGCAGGATGTAAATCAACTGTGTCACGAAACACACTGTTCAGTGTAGCTGACATTTTTATACAGCAAAACCTTCTATGAAGTGAAGGACACAATGCACTGATTTACATTCTGCTGTAAGATTTTTAACTCATTGTGGGCCCATCACCTGAGCAGCTCTGGTTTATACCACAGGACTAACTGCTTCTAGGCTGACAAATAAGAATGAAAAAAATTTACAGCCCCATTTTCTAGTTCTCATGTCATTTACTGTTCAAAGTAGAATATAAACATAGTGTTACCAATACAATTTCTTTTCTTTCTTTTTTTTAATCCTCACCCAAGGCTATGTTTCTAGAGATTTTTAGAGAGGGAGGGAGGGAGGGAGATAAACATCAATGTGAGAAAAACATCAATCGGTTGCCTCCCATACACGCCCCGACTAGGGATTGAACCAGCAACCTAGGTATGTGCCCTGACCAGGAATCAAACCTGCCACCTTTTGGTGTACAGGACGATGCTCCAACTAACTGAACCACCAGCCAAGACCCAACACAATTTCACAGACAATCTCTACAGAACAGATTCCATTACTAGTGTTTGGTAAAAGTGCTTTAGTTCTAAAAAGTTAATCAACTTTCAGCAGCCCATTCAATGAAGCAGCAAATTGGCCAGACAGCTACAATTCTAAATTTCTTTTATGTGCCAGTTCAACCCTGTAATCTTCAAATCCTTAACATGGAACCTATAATTTCTCTTTAAGGTATTAAGTAATAGCAATAACGCTCTTGACATCCAAACTAAGCTACAAAAATAAGTTCAAACAGCCTCAAAGTGACTAAATACTCTCATAATCACACACACAAGAATTACTTTAACAGGTTTATACCAAAATACATGACTTGGAGACATATATATAATGTTTTCCTTAACTGGAAAATCACTATCACTTTAACTTACTAAACTGAACTACTTTTGTTTTGCCTTAAGAGAAATAAAGAAGTGGTAGTGAAAGCAGCTTACCAGATAAGGAGCACTGACTCTACCTAAGTCACAAGTTTTAAAATTAAATATGATTCCATGCACTTCACCACCTATCTTTGCATGAGTTGTAATTTTAAAATAAATTCTCAAGTTCTATCCAAATTTTGAAATAAATTCCAGTTTAGCAAGGGGCACTCACAGAAACTGAATTTGGCATGGCCAATATTACTATGTACTGTTTTGACCCAAAGTGCCAATGGCCAACCAATGAGAGCCACTTGACAAACATAATACACTTTCATCAAGCCTCGCTCCTTCCTTGCTAAATGAAATAGTCTAAAATAGTCTTGATAAGTCATCAATAGAATCACAATTTCAGTGTGCCACTCACAGAAGTGTACCTGAATAAAGTGAACAGCAGCACTAATGAGTGGGAATCCTATGGAAGGAAGTCTATCAGAGTAGGACTTGGGACCAGTGTTTCCCTACGACTCTTCTAATACTTCGGAGATTGACATTCATGCCAGAAATTTAGAGGCAATTCTTGCACTTACAAATGCTTTCTGCTTCCCTTCCAATATTCCAGGTACTTCTACTGTACCAGCTAAGTTATAAGAAATCAATCAGCAAATATTAAACTTTTCCCCCAAATCACCAAAATCTGTGAGTGGCAGGATTGCAGGTAATTTTTATTTTCCTCTTTTTTCTTTTCCCCTAATTTTGAACAACAGCAATTATAAATTTTTTAAAAGGGATTTTTGGAATTTTGTTTTAAATCTAACCAGAAGAGGTAAATTATTGAATTCTGGGCTTAACTTTTTCATACTAGGCATACAGTGAGGCCAAAAACAATGCTGACTAATCTCAGTGAATGTTAATATGGATATATAGGACAGAGGTTATACAAAGATCATGTGACAAAATTCACATTTTTATAAAGAAGTTATGTATGTATTATATGTGACCAAAGCAACATGCTCATTGAAATAAATATTTATATTCTTAGGCATTTTCACAATAGATTTTTCTTCTAAAAGAAACCATGGATAGACCTGGAGAACATTATGGTAAGTGAAGGAAGCCAGTCAGAGAAAGACAAATAGCATATGATTTCACTCATATGTGGAACTTAATGAACAAACTGAACTACCAAGCAAAATAGAGACAGACTCATAGATAGAGAGCTGGCAGACACCTTGGTGGAGGGGTGGGGATTGTTGGAAGGATAGAGGGATGGAGCAAAAAAAGAGAGAGAGAGGGAGGGAACTCATGGACATGGAAAACAGTGTGGTAATGACTGGGTGGGAGCTAGAGGTGGAAGAGGGCAGAGGGAATAAACAGTGTTGGAAAAAAATAAAATAATAAAAGAAACCATTAGAATTAAAAGACAACATAGAAACTAAAGACACAAAAATACTTTGTTCAACAAATATTTAAGAAATATATTTAATATAAAAGGTCGAAATATCAAAAAGAGGAATAAACCAACTGCTTTACCTCTCTGTGTTTCATATCCAACTGACTCCTAAGAGACTTAAGTTCCTGTTCACGGATGTCCAAGCAAGCCTCTAAAGCATGTGTCTGCCCTTCCCATTCAGATTTTTTATGAGCCACCATTATGTCGATCTGTTTCATGAGCTCCTGCAGTTCTGCTTCACAGGATGTCAAAAATCCCCTATAAATAAGAACACAGAACATGTCAAAGTGGGTTTTCATCTTTCAGATGCAAAAATACAGCAGATATAAACCTACCTGAGGCGGCAAAATGTCAATAAATAAATTATCAGAAGCAAAGAACTGGACTCCAGAGCTTTTCCTTTTGATGTTCATATTAGGGTGATGACTTTTCCCAAAAATATTTTGTCTCCCTCTAACAGCCAACCTAAAGCCTAAGTCATTTGGTCAAACACAAAATTGATGTTTTAAGTCTGGCCTGTGAGTGAGACTTCGACAGCCAACAACTAGTGCTTTTCTAATATTCTAGGGAAGCTTTCAGGAAGAATCCAGGATGGCTTATTTCACAGTCTCAGTCAAAATAAAAAGCCTTGGAAACAAGTAGGCTATTGGGAAAATACAATTTTAAGAGCTGTTTCAAGAAATTCATCCTTGAGTCAGATTTATTTCAACTATTCTTTCCCATCTTATTAGCAGAAACTTACTGCAACCTATCTGATTATTGTAAACTTACTGGTGTCCTTCAAAGTTTTGGGAGATGCTAGATATGCCAGAGTGGGAAACAGCAAAGAACGCTCACAGACAGCTATAACTACTGAGGCTTAAACACTTTCTTAAGACATTGTTCTCAGTGTCACAGAAGCTCTTTACTTCTATGTTTGCTTGTTAAGAGTAGAAAATTTAAAGAGGGATGAAGGGAAGCTGAGATGAGGCCAACAACAGAGAGAGATGCTAACCACAACATGAATCAGCTTAGCTTTGGCTCAACACTTTTGCTTCTATACCCAAAGCACAAAATGGTCAGAGGCATAGCTCACATACACTGTTTAAACTGAGGGAGAAGCTTAAGGTCAAAAGCAAACTTACCCATCACGTCCCCGATTTTGTATTCCTTCCAACAAAGCCTCCATCGCCAAATCCCCTTTGCTTTGGCAACTGGAAAAGCAAAAATATCAGTCAGGAGAAAATCCATTTTTTAAGTTCTAACATTCCAACTGACAAACTTAAGAATGTGAACGAAAGCATACAAGTAATAACGAGAAAATGCTGCGCTTCTCAGGATGACTGAAGGAGCAGTCAAGGAATATCACTTCCAAAAATATTAGGGCCAAATACATTTCAGACTAAAACAAAATGACTTAAAGGGATCTGAGCTGCTGTTGACTCTCTCCTAGCATGACTGAAATCAATACCTCATTGTTGTATCCCTACTCCCTAATATAAGGGTGGAGGGACACTGACATAGACCCCCATACAGAAGAAATTAGGGGTCACACACGTCAGAGAAAAAGTGTAGCTTTTTTTTTTTTAAGAAATACTATAAACAGATTCAATGCCCTGAGCTTGCCCTCCTTGGTCCATCACAGGAGATCCTACTCACCCTCAATGTGACAAACCCTTGAAGCTTCCTAGAACACCCTCCCTCCTCTCAAAGGAGCTATGTGGGCCCTCCCTCCTCTACACTTCATCCTTCCTAGTCCTTAGGTTCTTTCACAGGAGTTACACCCAGTGGAACATTCTTTCTCCTTACTGTCCATCCCTCCAGGGCAAAAAACCAATGTTATTCATCCCTGCAGCTCCAGAGCTTAGTGTAGCATTTCAACAGGGCATGTGCTGGATGCTTTCGGCTGAGCTTAATGTCAATTCCTCTCCCTTTTACCTATCCCCCTATGCAAGCTGGTCACAGCTGGAGAAACACAGGAAGGGTCTGGCAGAGAAAGAGAAGAGAAGGGACACAGAAGAGACTGTTGTAGAAAGGGAAAGACACCATAAAGAAAGGAAGGTGAGCCCAGCCAGTGTGGCTCAGTGGTTAAGCGTCGAACTATGAACCTGAGGATCATGGTTCAATTCCTGGCCAGGGCCCAGGCCCAGGTTGCGGGCTACATCCCCAGTAGGGGGCGTGCAGGAGGCGGCCTATGGATGGGATGATTCGATGATTCTCTCTCATCATTGATGTTTCTATCTCCCTCTCCCTTCCTCTCTCTGAAATAAAAAAAAAATGTTATAAAAAAAAAAAAAGACGAATAAGAAAGGAAGGTGAGGAGGAAAGGCCACCCTTATATTCAGAAGTACCAATGAGTAATAATAGCTACTGTTTCTCACCTATTATTGCAAATCTTCAAAACCTGAGTCAATGTCAAACCACTTCTCACTCCTGAGATAACGTTTTTTTCCTAAAACCTTCAAAGACTCAATCCTAAATTAGTCTCTTAGGTGATTCCCAAATACCATGTTGTGGAGGTTCTGCCCCTCTGTCCTAACGTCTTGTCTAAAAATTGTATTTCTCTGAGGATTCTTTCATTCAACAAAGAATTCAGTGTTGTACTCACCACTAGATATATAGTGATGAAAGACATTGCCCTTTCCAAGGAGTTAATAGTCCGGTATGGGAAAGAAAAAAAATAACCCAAACAGTTCTCCCAGAGGGAAACTGTAGAGACAGGCAGTCTCCTGGAAACAGGGGAGAGTGAGAAAGCTGGAGAATACAGCTGCTGAGAGTTATCTGTACCTATCTCCAAAGTTCTAATAGGAGTAACAGACTACTCAAGCATAAATATGGCAGAGAGGGTTCTTTCCAGTCAGTTTGTCCTTCATTAGACAAAATAAAAACCTAAAGAAAAAGGTTTTTATGTCCTACTCCACTTTCTTTCAAAACATGATACGGTCAATTATAACACAGCCCAGACTCCAAGTTTGGTCCACTCTAGAGAACTCAGAGGCAGTACAGGGTTCACCCAGTTCCATGCAGGTGGAGACCCAGGATACAGCTCTGCTCTGCAACTAACTAGCTTTGTATCCCCGGACTTCAGTTTTTGCATCTGTAAAATAAGGAGTATGTACTATAATCTCCAAGATTTCTTCCAGCTTTTTCATGGGATTCTAGTAGCCAGTTAAATATCCACTGTAACCAGCATGCTCCTGACACCTATACATGGATATTTATAAAATATGTAGGAAAGTGCAATTATTCAAAATTATCATTAGCAAAATTATATTTTTTAGGCCATGTTATTCTTAAATATTAACATACTTAGTATTATATATTATTAATACACATTTAGTAATATATAATACATTGATACATTTTCTGGATGGCATTATTTAATAATTAGCAATATTTATAATAGAAGCTAAAAATCATTGAGTGCTCAACTGCTCTGCCATGTATATATTAACTAATTCATTCTTCATGACACTCACAAAAGATCAATGCTATTACTCTGAGGAAACAGACCTAAATAACTTGACTGTGATAAACTACAAATTATTATCCTAGGATTCAAATGTAGGCAGTGTGACTTACAAGTCTCAGCCAATGTACAATCTTATATATTTTACAGTATTCCATATCTTAAAATATGTCTTCTTCAACAGAGTCTTCTTGGCAATAAAATCAAACCAAATCAAAAGTAGGAATACAGGAAAAAATAAAAACTAAAGTATAACATCACTACCATAGCCACCAGGTGGCAGTAGCACAATAGTGAAATAGTCCACATGAGGAAAATTACCATTTCAGAAATCAAAATAATTGTCTAAAACAAAGATATCCCTGTTTTTAAAGAGGGGCTGGGGGGAGCAGCAGCATTCTCTGTGTAAAATGAAGTAAGCTTATTAATGTGTAATGTGTTTCTTTAATAATACCCTCACCATCTGCTTGAGTAGCTGTCAAACACCATCAATTCTCGTTCCTTAGGATCAGGTAAATAGCAAGGACTCAGATTTTCTGTGGACTTTTCTCATTTCAGTTTCTCATAGCCATATCATTAATTCCTTTCCTAACCAGCCTGACCCTCACTCAACTCTATGCACTATGTCACTTTGCTTTCTTCTTTGCCTGTGCCATGTGATAATTATGAAAAGTTAAGTATCTTTGTTCATAAGATTAAATACAAGGTTTAAGTAATTACTCTTTGGTAATCTGCCACACTTTTATAAAACGCTAATGTGGTTCAATGGAAACTGTGTAGCTCTACAATTGTTAGAGGGCAACCTCAGTCATTTCTGCATTTAGACCAAGACATCAACAAACAAAAGTTATTAATTAAAACTCTCCTTTGAAATGAAAGCTGTTTTAAATCAGTGAAATCTGGAATAAGATGATTAAAGGAAATACAAGCTTTTTCATCAAGTCTGGGAAGCAGGGAAACACACTTTATTGTGTGTTCTGTTTGTTTTTAATCCTCACCCAAGGATAGTTTTTCCACTGCTTTTCAGAGAGAGTGGGAGAGAAACATCAATGATGTGAGAGAGACACATCAACTGGTTGCCTCCCTCATGGGCCCCCACCCCAAATGGGCCAGGGATGGAGCCTACAATCGATGTGCATGCCCTTGGCCTGAATTGAACCTGGGACCCTTCAGTCTGCAGGCCAACGCTCCAACCACTGAGCAAAACCGGCCAAAACAGAAACACACTTTAAATCTTAGGGGAAAAAATAATCCAAAAAGGACATCTGATAATGGGCAAATGCTTGAAATTCATTAACATATTTCTAGGAATTTAAGAGCTAGAAAGAACACGAAGACCTCCAAGTTAATCTCTTCGTTTCACAGATCAGGAAAAATATCTAAAGTATGCAGCCAAGATAAAAATTACTCACAAAATGGGACACAGGAAGAAAAAACTCTGGATAGAATTACAAATAAATGTGTACTAATAGAAGAGATGGATATGCCTACCCATCAAATCTCATTTAAAGGATACAATGCTCTGTCCCTTACTTGCCTTGGCATTACTATGATTACAAAGATCGACGGCTCTGTCAGATATACTAGGGCTGCTCCAATAAACAATCAATATAATTTACCATTGCCCAGAAAGGTCCCTACTTAAACTTAAGGGGGAAAAAATCAGCAGATAAAGTATCAAAGAAATTTTCCAAAATAAAAATAAAATTGTAAAACACTGTCTAAACTGTGATTCAAAATCCAGAAAGAATAAGGGGAAAGACTAAGAAATCTGAGTAAATAAAAATACATTTTTACATGGGAAAAATGTCATAAGCCAAGTTAAAAGACAACTGACAACAGTACTTGAAAGTTTTATCACAAAGGCTTAATTCTCCAAATATACAGAGAACCTAAAAATTGAGGGGGAGGGAATCTATAGAACAAGGAACAGAAGACATGAACAAGTAGCTCATAGAAAAAGAAATGCGCCCGGCCGGGCGTGGCTCAGTGGTTGAGAGTCAACCTGGGATCCAGGAGATCAGGGTTTGATTCCCCGTCAGGGCACATGCCCGGGTTGTGGGTTGCAGCTTATCAATGACTCTCTCATCATTGATGTTTCTATCTCTCTCTCTCCCTCTCCTTTCCTCTCTCTGAAACCAATAAAGATAAGTTTTTAAAAAAAAAGAAAAAGAAATGCAAATAACCTTAAACATATGAAAAGATGTTCAAACCTTGCTCATCAAATTTAAACTACACTGAGTTACCCTTCCTGCTGTATTAGTTTAACCAAAAATTAAAACTCAGATTAACCAAAAATTAAATATATACTCATGAAGCATGGGAAGCAGGTACCCATATACATTGCACAAGGAATACTAAATGGCACAACTACTATAGAGGAGATTTCAGCAATACCTAACAACTGATATATATGCATTTATTACCTTTTAATCCAAAAATGTCACTTCTAGGAAACTATCCCAAAGATACAATGGCAAAAATATGAAATCACATATGCACAAGGATATACACTGTACAACTATTTGCAATAATAGAAAAAACACAAATGCTTGTCAATAGGGAACTATTTGAATATTCATCCACCAATGAAATACTATGAAGCTGTAAAAAGGGATAACAATCCGTACATACTTCTGTGGAGGGATCTACAAGGGCATATATTATCAGGTAAGAAAAGCAAGCTACAGAATAGTATATGGGAATACTACCTTTTATCTAAGCAAGGGAAAAGTGTGTGTGTGTATGTATGATGCATCTGTTTTTGGGAACAAACCCCAACCCCAAACTAGTAAATATAATACCTACAAGAGAGGGAATAGGGTGGAGAAAACAGGGATGAAAGCTCAACTTATCTGGATGTACTTTGCTTTACAGGTACTTGTTTTATGGAATCTATGCTAATGTTTTATAGATAATAAAACAAATCCAAATTGTTTCATGTCTTTAAAATGCAATAATTGTACTATACATATCCAAGTGGAATATATATTAAGAATAAAAAAGAACTGCAAAGAAATCCTGTACACTATTCAGGAATCATATTGTTGATAATAAAATAGGTATTGTTAATTTGAAATAGTTACATACAATATAGGATAAGAAAAAAGTAATTATGTTAATAACATTAACTACCAATATTTTCAGAAAAAGATACAAATATAAAATCAAATACGCAAAAAACCCTATAAAATTAAATTATAAACATCAGTATGAATTCTGTATATTTCTCTTTAAAAAAATGTATTTCCTAACCCTGGCTACTGTAAATCCTAGAACTAATGACCAACCTAGCAACAAAAGTACCTCTAGTACCCAGAATGTGGTCTCTAAATACCATCTTCCACTCAAAGGAACCAGGCTTCTTGGTGGCCAGAAATGTATAAGTGGGCCAGGAACATGTTTTACCAGAAAATGAGGAAATTATCAAAGACTACTGGTCTTATCAAAGTGGACAGGAGCTAACTTAAAGGGGCCACCACTGGCCAATGACAGGACAATCTGAGTATCCAAAAATAATGACTGCAATAGGTTGAAACAACTTAAATATATTTAAGTCAGTAAGTTCATGATGTTTTTTTAAAAAGGTAAAAACCCTCATGGTTACCTTTGGAGGTTGTTAGGCCACCAACTCATTACTGTAGTCTGAAAATAGAGGGAAAGAATTAAGCATTTTTCTTGCCTTTCTTGTACAAATTCTATCTCAAACAACTGATGGTAGTCAAATAACTGGTGGGAAAAAGTTCTTCATGAAAGACTTCCAGTTAATAAATACTGAAGGAATAACAGAATTAGAAAATCACCATATTGCAACTCCTAATGCAATAATGGATACAGGCAATTTAAACCCATGAAAAGACTGCACCATTAAGTGAAAGGCTCCTGGGGAATTTCTTAATGGATGGATGGGGCTGAAAACACCTGAACCCACTATGCTGCTCAACCTTAACATCACAAAAAGAGATACAATTCATTGTGTGAGTCTCTGATAATTAATGCAACAGGAAGTGTATTGCACCACCTAGGAAATCTTGCCTCTACCCCAACCAAAAAAAATAAAATCAAGGTTGAATCTGATCAAGCTTCTATATCAGTGCTGTTCAACAGAACTTTCTGCAATTGTGGAAATATCTTATATCTATACCAAACGGTAGCCACGAGGCACCTGTGACTACTGGGCACTTGAAATGTGGCTAATGTGACTAGGGAACTTAATTTTTAGTTTTATTTCACTTTAATTCATTTAAATAGTCACAGCTGGCAAGTGATTACTATAGTAAACAGTGTAATCCTAATTCTAACTACTGGTTTAAAGAAAATATAAGAAATAAATGTACATGTTAAAGGATATGGAAGCAAAGGCAATTAGCTAAATCTAGAATATTAAGGGGGAAAGGGAGGCAAGGGAACTACTATATTTAAAAGATTTAAAAGATGTATCAACCAAATGCAACATGTGGATCTCTACAGGATTTTGATCCAAACAAGTTAATCATAAAAAGACATTTAAGGGGCAATGGGGAAATCTGAACTCAGACTATTGAATGCTGAGATCAAGGAATTTTTGTTGATTTTCATAGGTGAATGATAGTACTCTGGTTTTGTAAAACTAACAACATAAAAATAAAAAAATTCAGTTCCTGAAACCTATGTCAATGCTGCCTTCAGCTGATTTCAAATCAAGTTGACCTTTTTTTAAAAGTTGGAGGCTCTGAGAGTGGACTACTGATGCTGTCACTATCTGCCACCTCTACTACAGAAAACAGGAGGGACCAAGCAAAGGTCTTCCTTTTAATGGGAGAAAACTGAATCAGTACAATTGACACACACAATTACTACAAATAATTTTTAAAACCTGAATCTACACACATTTAAAGGGCAGTGTGACAATGTTTATAAATCTTTAACACATTTTACATTGTCCTTTTTACTTGATTATATTGATCACTGGTAATACACAATCAAAGGGCAAGAAGGTCAGGATAAAAATCAATCCAATGAAGGTACTACATTTCAAATAAGGCAATTATAATACACTTCATTATATAATTAAGCTACAGCTATAAATCTAAACATAAGTATCTGAAGGTGACTTGCACCTGCTAATCCTTATGATTTCCTTTTCATATCTATAAAGTTAAGTGCAAGCATGTTGGGGTACCTATAGGGTACCTACCCTACAACATGATTTATTAAAGGAATAAAATAACACTTAAGGTTTCAGGAATCGGATGTAAGGTTCAAGAAAAAGTACTTTGCGCAAACAGGTGTACTGTAACTACAAATGAAGACTAGTCATTGACATCAGACTCATCTTCACTCTATTGTTGTAAGGGACCTAAGAAAAACCTTATGAGCCTAGATTTACCGTCTCAGTATCTTCATTATTAAAGTGTCCCTAGGGAACCATCCCTTTCATACCCTCGCTCTGTCATTTACTTCCCATCCGTGAGTTGCATGGAGCAACCCCTAGTCCAGGGTTCCCCAACTTCAGTCCCTAACGATTTCCACATTTCCGTCCCTCCTGTACTAACAGTAACATTTTTTAATGAAGTCACTTTTTTCAAATGGCTAAACTTCCCACCACGAATGACCCGGCATCGCCTGCCGTCGATTACCTAAATCGCAACGACTAGCAAGCTAACCAGACAGGGCAGGCTAGGCAGGAAGGCTAAGAGCGGGGGACCCGGGGCGCCGAGGGCTCGGGAGCAGCTCGCCCCCGCCGGCCCGGCCTCCGGGAAGGGCTGACCACCTGGCTGGCCCGGACGGCGCGGCCCGCAGGGCCATGTCCTCCTTCGCGGGTCCGCAGGGCGTACGCGGCGAGTC